CCTCAAGCCCGGCTCTCCATGGCGTCTCCAAGCCACAGGCTGGGTGGCGGGGCTGGGATGCGGCTGCTGGGTTCCGACCCTTCCTGCACCTGCCACTGCTTCAGCGGGGTGCTGCGGAAAGTTCAATATGTTGCCTGTCCAGACTCCCCTCCAAACCACTCATCTGCCCACGTTGCCACCTCCCACCACTTTCAGGCAATTCCCTGCCTGCGTGGGAGTGGGGATTGATGGGGAAGGGATCGTCTTCCTGTGTAGGGGAGAAGGCATGCCTCCTCCGGCCAGCCCGTGGGCGGCAGACAACTCGAATGCACTCTCTCCCCACAATTTTTCCAACTCCCCGGGTTTAGTGGGATAATTTTTGGTTCACCTTTGATTATTGCCCATGATTTCCATATCCCGGTGTCTCTTTGCAGTGATCAGCTTGTGAAGCTGATCCAGAGTAGGTGCAGATGACTTGCATGTGGTTGTCTGTCCTCTTCACCTCTCATCCTGAGAGCCGAGAGCCAAGAGGTCAGCCCTATTCCACCATTTTTCACAATCTACTGGGGCTTTCTTACTGGGTTTTTTTATTTGTTTATTTCCTTTATTTGTTATTTTTTGTGTTTTTTTTTTCTTTTTGATGATGAAGGCTATAGTATTCTATTTGAAATGTTTCTAAGCTATTTTTTACAGATACTATTCCTTGTCATGTGTGATTGCTCAAGTCTTTGTTCCTTTGGTGCATGTTAATGTTTTGACAGAGATTTCTTTGAATTTCTGGAACTTTCCCAGTCTTTGCAGCTTGTCTCTGTTCTGGGGCACTCCTTCCATACTTAGGTAGGCTTGCTCTGAGCCTAGGGATGTGTGTTGGTTAATTTTATTTGACGGCTGGCTAGGACACGGTACCCCAGATATTTGGTTAAGCACCCGTTTAGATGTTGCTGTGAAGGTATTTTTTCCCCCACCCTGCCAAGGTATTTTTTTAGATGAGATTAACATTTAAATCTTAGACTTTAAGTAAACTTGACTTGAGTAAAGTGAGGACATTGATTAGGAACAAATGTGATCCTGAAAATTGGAATGGGGATATATGGGAAAATCCTGATGAAGTGGGGAAATATTGAATCCCTAAATTCTGTTGAGTCTTTGTTGCCAATATAAGCAGATGCTGTATCCAATCTGAGATTAACTTTGCCTGAGGAAACTAATGGCTTTTCTGAGGTAATTGCTTTGTAAGACACTGCTGATTGTCATCAGGACCCACCCCCATGACCCCTCTTTGCTTCTAAACCTATAAGTAGACTCAAGTCTCAGCAGTCCCCTAAAGGTACAGTACAAAGTATGATCCATGAAAAGGTGTGCTACACTCCAAAAGAATGACATAATTTTTCCCCTTTGGGAATATGTGTGGAAGTGGATATTAAAGGTATGGGATAATGATGGAAGAAATGGTAAAGTTGGATCAAGCTCAGTTTATTGATATGGGCCCATACAACAGAGATTCTGGATTTAATGTTGCAGCTTGGGGGATTAGAAAGTGCTCTAACTGGTTGATTGGTTGGTTGGTTGGTTGGTTGAAACATGGATCAAAAGGTGGCCTATGGTGAATGAAGTTGAAATGCCAGACCTGCACTGACATACAATAGAGGAAGGGATCCAAAAGCTTAGGGAGATTGAAATGTGAGAATGGATTTATCATTGAAGATTTCTTCACTCGCACTGATGGATTTATCATTAAAGATTTCTTCACTCGCACTGATGGGGGTCTAGAAGACATACCTTTCACCACAACTGTGAGAAATAAATTTATGAGGGGAGCTCCAGCATCCTTAAAGACCTCTATGATTGCTCTTTTCTGTAGGTCTGAAATTACATTGGGAACTGCTGCCACTGAATTGGGAAACTTAAATTCAATGGGAATAATTGGATCTTGTGGTGGCAGGTAGCAGCACCTAATTGACAAAGGCAAGGTGGGAATGTTTACCATAGTGGACAGCAGAGTGAAAGCAATATAGAGACCAGTGGTTTGATAGTTAGTTAATAATAGAGTTCCTAGAAATGAAATACACGGGGTGTCTATTAAATTCTTACTTGATCTGTATGAGCAGAAGAGTTTTAGTTCAAGTGAACAAAAGTCTAATTTGAATCACAAAAATGGAGTCTTGGCTCCTCAATCAACTTCCAGATTTGAGCCACTTTATAGACCCAGAATACCTTGAACAAACAGGATACTTGGTTCACCTTGGAAGGATCCTACAACACTGCCAAAGATGTATATTTTTAAGTCTTCCAGTCTTTCCCAAAAGGACCTATGGCAGTTTACTATCAGTACGTTGGGGGAAAGGAAATAAAGAAACTTTGGGAAATTACTGGGTATAGGCTCTAAACTGACACTAATTCCAAGAAACCAAAAATATCACTTAGGTTCACCAGTCAGAGTAGGATCTTATGGAGATCAGGTGATCTATGGACTTTTAGCTCCAGTCTATCTAAGATGGGGCCCCAAAGTCATCCTGTGGGTATTTCTACAGTTTGGGAATGCATAATTGAAATAGACATACTCAGCAACTGGCAGAATCCCCACATTGGTTCTCTGACCTGAAGAGCATGGTCTATTATAGTGGGAAAGGCCAACTGGAAACTACTAAATCTTCCTTTAGGAAATTGATAAACCAAAATCAATATTGCATTCCTGGAAGGATGGCAAAAATTAATGCCACCATCAAAGACTTGAAGTATGCAGGAAAGGTAATTCCCACACCTTCCCGTTCAGCTTACCATTTGGCCTGTGCAGAAAACAGATGGATCTTGGAGAATTACAATTGATTATCATAAGCTTAACTATGTGTTGACTAGTCAGATGCAGTTTGATTACTTGAGCAAATTAACATATCCCCTGATACCTGTAATGCAGCTATTGATCTGGCAAATGCTTTTTTCTGATACCACTTAGTAAATATCAACAGAAGCAATTTGCTTTTAGCTGGCAAGGCCAGCAATACACCTTCACTGTCCTACGTCAGGGGTTTATCAACTCTCCAGCCCTACAATCATAATTTAGTTCACAGGATTTAAAATTTTTTTATTGATGCATAATAAATGTATATTATTTTCAGGGTACATATGATAATTTAATACATTTAAATAGTTTGTAAAGATCAAATCCATCACTTTGGATATTTGTATTTTCTTTATGTTGGAACCATTCGTTAGTCCACAGGATTTTGATGCTTTTCCCTTTTACAAGACATCACATTGGTCCAATACATTGATAACATATTGATTGGACCTGTGAGCAAGCAATTAGCAACTACTCTACTCTTATTGGTAAGATATTTGCGTGTCAGAGGGGGGAATATAAATCTTAGTAAAATTCAGGGGCTTTCTATGTCACTGAAATTTCTAGGCATCTAGCCATGTGAGGCATGTTGAGATATCCCCTGTAAAATGAAGGATAAATTGTTGCATCTGGCCCCTCCTACAACCATGAAGTAGAGACAACACCTAGTAGGCCTTTTTGGATTTTGGAGGCAAAAAATCATTATTGTAACCATTCCCACCTTATCTTTAGCAACTAAGTACCACCACCTGCCACTCTGGGATCCAATTATCTCATTAAATTTAGGTTTCATTTGGAGTAGCACATTTGGGTGTACTGCTCCAACTAATTTACCATGTGACCTGAGAAGCTGCTGGTTGTGAGTGGGTCCCAGAACAAGAGAAATCACTGCCATAGGTCCGGTCTGCCATGCAAGCTCCTCTGCTACTTGGGCCACATATATCCAATCCAATGGTGCTTGGAGTGTCAGTGGCAGTTAGAGATGCTCTTAGGAGTCTATGGCAGGCCCCTGTAGGTGAATTTGAGCACAGGCCCTTAGGATTTTGGAGCAAAGCCTTGTCATCCTCTACAGGTAACTACTCTCCTTTTGAGAAATAGCTTTTGGCTTGCTACCAGGCCTTAGTAGAGCCTGAGCACTTAAGCTTGGGCCACCAAATTACCATGTGACTTGAGCTGCCCTTCCTGAACTAGCTGTTGTCTGATGCCACTGTGAAATTGAACATGCATGACAGTACTCTATCATCAATGGAAGTGGTATAAGGCACAAGTAAGTTACATGAAGAAGTGACTCAAAAGCCCATAGTCCGCACTCCTGCTACATTGTCTTCTCTCTCTCAGCTTGCACCCATGGTCTCATGGGGAGTTCCCAATGATCAGGGTTTTATTTTTATTTTTTATTTTTGAGATAGAATTTCGCTTTGTCATCTGGGTAGAGTGCAGTGGTGTCTCATAGCTTACTGCAGCCTCAAACTCCTGAGCTCAAGCAATCTTCTTGCCTTGGCCTCCTACAGTGCTAGGATTACAGGCATGAGCCACCACGCCCAGCCCCCCCGATGATCAGTTGACAGAGAATGACAAAACCCAGGCTTGGTTTACAGATGATTCTGTATGCATGTACCACAGCCCCTTTATGGGATATTGCTGAAGGACACGCCCTTCAACAGATGATAGAGAGTTGTGGAAGTCTTTTAGACAGGAGGTAACTTTTAGATAGATAGCTCACACTCGCTGCCATGGGAAGAATGGCCTGACCTATGGGTTTGGTCCAGATTTGGGTCTGGGTCCCAGATCAGGGACTAGTCTGGTCTTTGGGTCTGACTTGGGCCCCAGGGAAAGACCCTGTTTATATACCTGAAATCAGCATGGAGGCTTCAGGGTTTGATCTATGTATTTTGCTCAGTTTGGGCTCCCCAAGGTAGGGCTTAGTCTGGTCTTTGGGCCAGTATGCTGGGACCCAGGAGAAGACCTGGTCTGGGTGTCTACCAGAGTGGGGTCACCTGTGCAGGACCTGCTTCTTAGTGAAGCTCCATACATCCAGACATTAATTGGGGCTTTCACAGGCGTTAAGGGAAAGAGGACAGAAAAAACTAAGAAGGATAAATAGGTAAAAGCAATTTTATTACTGAAGTGAAAACAGAACATTCTAAGAAAAACAGAACATTCTAAGAATTCAACAAGCAATAATTGACCAACAATGGGCCTGCTGTTGAGCCTATAGTCTGCTCAGGAAATTCTGGCCTATCCCTGAATACTGCCTGCTTATCTCTTGTTCCCAGAAGTCACATCCCCAATTTCTCATGTTGATAAAGTTCTCTTATGGTGCCAATTTCCTTTCCACTCTCATGTTCTGCAGCCTCTTTGGTTTCTCCCTAACATTCTGGGCTGATTCTTTTCCACAGAACATCTTTTCTACATGTTGCCGGATCTCCTTAGTCCTCACCCCATAAATGACAGGATTCAAGGCTCCTGGGAGCAGCAAGTATATGGCACTAAGAAGATTCTGGACATCCTGAGACACAGTCTTGGCTACTCGGAATACAATGGAAGTGGAAAGACCAGAGAGGTAGATGGTGAGGATGACCAGCAAGTGGGAGCCACATGTATGCAAGGCCTTGGCTCGGGCTCCCCCAGAAGAGATCTGAAAGGCAGCATAAATGATGCGAGTGTAGGAGGTCCCAAGTAGGGTTAGATCAAAGATCACAGTGACCAACCGCATAACCAGCCCCAACCGGCTGTTGAAAGTCAGGTCTCCACAAGCTATGCTCAGTAGTGCAATGTACTCACAAGTGAAGTGTTGAATCACTCCTGTCTGGCAGAATTGAGCTTGTGCAGTTAGCACCACCAAGGGCACTGCCACTCCCAGGCTCCGTGTCAGGGCAAGAATGGCCAGCAGGCCCAGCAGGCGGGAGGTCATCAGGTCAGTATAGCGGAGTGGGTGGCAGATGGCAACATAACGGTCCAGGGCCATGGCCAGAAGGAGGTTGTAATCCAGAAGGAGGGTGAAGTAGATAAAGAACATCTGGGCCAGGCAGCCATGCAGTGATATGGGGTTAGCATAATGCACAAAGCCCTCCAGCATTTTAGGCATTACAGCTGTGGCAGCACAAATGTTGACAGCCAGGAGCAGAGCAATGAGCACATACATGGGCTGATGTAGGTTTCGCTGGGCAACTACCGTGTGGATGACCAGGACATTGGCAGAGATGATGGTCACATAGAGGAAGGTAAGAGGCAGGACCAGGAGGGACCTCCACTCTTGTAATCCAGGGAAACCTACCAGGAAGAAGTTGGTGTAGGAGATGTTGAAGGTGCTGGTATTTCCATCCTCACCCATTAGCTTTGGCCCTGAGCTGGCACCAGGAGTAGAGATTAGAGGCTGTTAGAACAAAATGGAAAAAAAAAAAAAGCCCATTTCTATTTTAGGACCTGAGGAGTTTGTGATGAAAATCCACCTCTTCATGTATGTATTCCTTTGAGGCACACACAGGTACTATGCCTGGTGTTGTGGGAGCTACAAAGATGAACAAGACATTCTTGTACTCAAGGAGCTCTTGGCCTTATGTGTGTGAAATGTAAACTTATAAGATACTTATTATTCCAGATATTTGATTGCTGAGTAAAAGATTATGAAGAAAAGTAGGTGTGATATATGATAGGGAAAAATGAGCAGTGGTCAGAGGTGAAATAAGAAAGAGGGAAGATGGCCGGGCGGGGTGGCTCACGCCTGTCGTCCTAGCTTTCTGGGAGGCCAAGACGGGTGGATAGCTGCTGCTTCAGGGGTTTGACACCAGCCTGAACACTGCCTGAGCACAGTCAGACCCCGTCTCTAAATCTAAAAAAAAAAAGTAAAAAAGGCAAAAAAAAAATACACAAAACTAACAAAACAGCCGGGTGCTCTGGCAAGCGCCTGTAGTCCCAGCTACCTGGGAGGCTGAGGCAGAAGGATCGTTCACAGCCCGGGACCTGGAGCTTGTGGTGACCCGCCCTCACTGCACTCTGCCCAGGACGCCGAGTGACACTCTGTCTCCACAAAAAAAAGAAAAAAAAAATGAGAAACAGAAAGAGGGAAGAGGTCAGAGGAGGTGGAGCAAGTTGGCCTATTAGAACCCTTCACCAACCATCCACTTGCAGGAACACCAAATTGAACAACCATCATGTAAGGAAGCACCTTCATAAAACCAAAAAATTAGGTGAGCAATCACAGTACCTAGTTTGAACATAACATCAAGGAAAGAGGCATTGCAGATGCCAACCCTAGGCAGTGGAACATGGAGAGAGAATCTGTGCTTGGGAAAGAGAAAAGTGAATGTGGAACTTCGCATTAGAACTCAGTGCTGTCCTGTCACAGCGGAAGACACCCAGGGCAGAATTCTGCCAGTGGTACAGAGGGAGCATTTAGACCAGTCCTGGGCCAGAGGACAATTCCCACCTCAGCTGGAGGAACCCAAGTCACAACCTGCTTCACCATCAGCTGACTAAAGTGGCTGAGGTCTGGAATAAATTTGAATGGCAGTCAGCCCACAAAGACTGCAGACCAAGTGCAAGCCCTGGTGCTGAACTGGTCTTGGAGGCAGTGGACTTGGGGTGTGATACAGTGAAATACCAGCTGTGCTGGCTGAGGGAGTGCCTGTGTCAACTCTGGGCAAAGCAGATCCAGGAATAATTTCTTCCATTTGGGGGGAGGAAAGGGAGAGTTCAGGGAACTGAGTCTTGCAATTTGGGTACTACATTTACAGTAAATAATAAGCACCAGCAGATTCCTAAAGGCCCTCATTCCAGGGCTTTGCTACTGGATGGCATTTCTAGACCCACCCTGGTCCAAAAGGGAATCTGTTGTCCTGATGGGATGGACCCAGTCCCAGCAGGATTCACCACCTGCTGACTGAAGTGGTCTTGGGCCTTGAATAAACATCAGTGGCAGTCAGGAAGTAGTGGCCATGGGCCTTGGGCAAGCCCTAGTGCTGTGCTGATTTGCATGGCTTCAGGTGCAACCCTCTGCAGTGCCAGCTGTGGTGACCATGGGAGTGCCCACATCACCCCTCCGCCAACTCCAGGCAGCCCAGCATGGATAATGACTTCTGATTGGGGGAAGAGAGGAAAGATAGTGGGAGACTTTACCTGGTAACCTAGGGAATTCTCCCTTAACTTACCCAAGTCCACCAAGTCTGTGTATCTAAGAGTCTGCAAGGGTCACAGAGTTCCTGGGCTTACGGCATCCCCTAGTACTGAAATAGCTGCAGACTTACGTCACAATGCTCAATCCCCCTTGAATTCATGGAAAGCCCTCTCAAGAAGAATGGGTACAAACAAGCCCAGATTGTGAAGATTAGAATAAATACCTAACTCTTCAATGTGCAGACATCGATAAGTGTCCACAAACACCAAGAACATCCAGGGAAACATGACCTCATCAGACTACTTAAGGCACCAGTGACCAACCCTGGAGTGATAGAGATATGTAACCTTTCAGACAAGGGAATTTAAAATAATCTGTCTTGAGGATGCTTAATGAATTTCATTATAATACCAAAGGATCAGAATCCTATCAGAGAAATTTAACAAAGAGATTGAATAATAATAAAAAAAAGCAGAAATTCTGGAGCTGAAAATTCAATTGACAAGCTGAAAAATGCATTAGAGTCTCTTAACAGCAGAATTGATCAAGCAGAAGAAAAAATTAGTGAGCTTGAAGATAGGATATATGAAAATATACAATCAGATGAGAAAAGGTAATGAAGAATTAAAAAGAATGAAGCATATCTACCAGATCTAGAAAATAGATCAAAAGGGCAAATCTAAGAGTTATTGGCCTTAAAGACAATGCAGAGAGAGAGATTGGGGCAAAGGATAAGTATAAAACTCACTGGTAATAGTAAGTACACAGACAAATACAGAATACTCTAACACTGTAATTGCAGTGTGTAAACTACTCAGATCTTTAGAAGGAAGACTAAAAGACATCTATCAAAAATAATAACTACAACAGCTTTTAAGACATAGACAATATAAAAATATATAAATAGAGGCAACAAAAAGTGAAAAAGCATGGGGAATGGAGTTAGAGTATAAAGTTTTTTAGTTTTCTCTTTGCTTGTTTGGTTTTTTTCCTTTTCTTTGTAGTCAAAGTCAAGCAAAAACCTATAATAGATGCACAAAAAATAAAAAGCAAGAAATTCAAACATACTACCAGAGAAAGTCACTTTTATACAAAGTAAGACAGGAAGGAAGTAAGAAAGGATAAGAGGACCAACAAGACAACCATGAAACAAATAGCAAAATGGCAATAGTAAATTTCTTTGTTTCTTTTTTTTTTTTGAAACAGATCCTTGCTCTATTGCCCAGGCTAGAGTGCCATGGCATCAGTCTAGCTCACAGCAACTTCAAACTCCTGGGCTCAAGCAATCCTTCTGCCTCAGTCTCCTGAGTAGCTGACTACAGGCATGTACCACCATGCCCAGCTAATTATTTTTTTATATATATCTTTTTAGTTGGCCAGTTAATTTCTTTCTATTTTTAGTAGAGACAGGGTCTTGCTCTTGCTCAGGCTGGTTTTGAACTCCTGACCTTGAGCAATCACCCATCTCGGCCTCCCAGAGTGCTAGGATTACAGGCGTGAGCCACTGTGCCCGGCCTACTTACTTATTTTTTTAGATAGGGTCTCATTCTGTCGCCCAGGCTGGAGTGCAGTGGTGCTAACATAGCTCACTACAGCCTCTAACCCCTCGGCTCAAGCAATCCTATGCCTCAGCCTCCTGAGCAGCTGGGACTACAAGCATGTGCTGCCACACCCAGCTAATTTAAACAAACAAAAAATTTAGAGATGGGGTCTTGCTATGTTGCCAGGCTGATCTCAAGATACTGACCTCAAGGAGTCCTCCTACATTAGCCTCCCAAAGTACTGGAATCACAGGCGTGAGCCACTGCCTGTCCTTTTTTTTTTTTTTTTTTTTTTTTAGCAATAGGGCTTTACTCTGTTACCCAGGCTAGAGTACAGTGGCAGATGATTGATTACAGCTCATTGGTATCTCAAACTCCTGGGATCAAGCAATGCTCCCACCTTAGCCTCCCTGAGTAGCTAGGACTACAGGCATGCATCACCATGTCTGGCTAAATTTGTAAAACTTTTTTGTAAAGATGGGTCTCGCTAAGTTGTGTGGGCTGTTCTTCAACTCCTGGCTTCAATCAATCCTCTTGCATTGGTTCCCCAAAGTGCTGGGATCACAGGTATGAGCCACCGGGCCTGGCCCAGAGTACATTCTTATAACAACTTCAGGATGACCAAGTCATAGGTCTTCTAGGACTTTTCCCTCTACATCCCTCATACCCCACAAATGAGGCAGCATTGGACAGGCTTCAAGCATTCTTAATCTTAGCAGCAACTTTGAGTTAGCATTTATTAAGTACTTACTACATGCCAGACATGGTTCTAAGTGTGTTTCATGTGGTATCTCTTTAATACTCACAGCAACCATAAGAGACAAATATAGTTGTTCCTCAGTATTGTGGAGGATTAGTTGCAGTACCCTCCATGAATAACAAAATCTACAGATGCTCAAGTCCCTTATAGAAAATGGTGCTGGGAAAACTAGATACACATATAGAAGAATGGAACTAGACCCCTACCTCTCACCCTATACAAAAATCAACTCAAGATGGATTACAGACCTTAATGTAAGACCCTAGATTATAAGACTACTAGAAGAAAACATAGGGGATATGCTTCAAGGACATTGATATGGATAAAGATTTTATTAATAAGACCTCAAAAGCACAGGCAACAAAAGCAAAAATAAATAAATGGGATTATGTCAAACTAAAAAGCTGCTGCACAGCAAAGGAAATAATCTTCAGGGTGAAAAGACAACCTACAGAATGGGAAAAATATTTGCAAACTATTCATCTGCCAGGAGGTTAATATTTAGAGTGCAGAAGGAACTGAAATATCTCAAAAGCAAAAAACCCCAAACAATCTTATTAAAAAATAGGCAAAAATAAAATTTAAATGCAAAAAGTAAAAAAAAAAAAAAAAATAGGCAAATGATCTCTGAACAGACATTTCTCAAAAGAAGACATACAAATGCCCTCCCCCCAAATGTGTGAAAAACTGTTCAATGTCACTAATCATTAGGGAAATACAAGTTAAAGCCACAATGATGTATCATACCCCTCAGATAGGATGGCTATTATTAAAAAAACAAAAACTAACAAATGCAAGTGAGGATGCAGAGAAAAGGGAACTCTTACACATTGTTGGTGGGAATGTAAACTAGTACAGCCACTATGAAGAACGATATGGAGGTTTCTCAAAAAACTACCACATAATCCAGGAATCCCACTACTGGGCATTTACACAAAGGAAAGAAAATCAGTATATCGATGAGGCATCTTCACACCTATGTTTACTGCAGCATTTTTCAAAATAGCCAATATATGGAATCAACCCAATTGTCTAACAACAGATGAATGAATAAATAAAATGTGGTATATATACACAACAGAATACTATTCAGTCATAAAAAGAATGAAATCCTGATGTTCAACATGGGTGGAACTGGAGAATAATATAAGTGAAATAAGCCAGGAATAGAAAGTTAAACACTGCATGTTCTTTTTCATATATGGAAGCTAAAGAAAAGTTGATCTCATAGAAGTAAAAGGTAGAATAGCAGATACTAGAGGCTGAGAAGGGTAGAGGGAAGCGAGGGCTAGGGAGAGGTTTGTTAAAGGTTACAAAATTACAACCAGATAGGAAGAATAAATTCTGGTGTTCTAAAGCATTGTAGGATGACTGTAGTCAACAATAATATATTATAGTTTCAAATAGCTAGAAGAAGGATATTAAATGTTCTTAGCACAAAGAAATAAATGATAAATGTTTGTGATGATGGATATGCTAATTACTTATATCTGATCACTATACATTTTATATATTGAAACATCACCATGTGCCCCATAAATATATGCAATTATTATGTATCAATAAAAAAGGCACAGACTTTGCATAAACCTACATACATCCTCCTGTATACTTTAAATCATCTCTAGATTACTTATAATACCTAATACAATGTAAATGCTTTGTAAGTAGTTGTTATACTGTACTTTTAAAATTTGTTTTATTTATTTATTTATTTTCAAGACAGAGTCTTGCTCTGTTGCCCTGGGTAGAGTGCAGTGGCCTCATAATAGTTCACTGCTATCTAAAACTCCTGGGATCAAGTGATCCTCCTGCCTCAGCCTCCTGAGTAGCTGTGACTATAGTTAGGTACCATAATGCCTGGCTAATTTTTTTATTTTTAGTAGGGACAAGGTCTCACTCTTACTCAGGCTATTCTTGTACTCCTGAGCTCAAGCTATCTTCCCACCTTGGCCTTGCAGAGTGCTAGGATTACAGACATAAGCCACCTCACCGGGCCCTTATATTATTTTTTATTGTATTTTAATTTGTTTTCGAGTATTTTTGATCTGCAATTGGTTGAATCCACCAATGCGGGACCCACAGTTACAGAGGGCTGAATGTGCTATTTATTAACCCAGTTTATAGAACGAGGCATGCAGATTTAGAGAAGTTAACTAATGTTCTTAAAGTGTTATAGGTATTAAATGATAGGGCTGGGATATGAACTAAGGTTTGTCAATGGTGAAAGGTGGAGTTCAGTTCCAATCTCAGGTTTACCTGCCTCCAAATCCCCCATAAATCTCTTGTCTCCTCACCATGGCAGGCTGGAGTGGTCTCCGATTGGGTTGCAGCCTGCAGTGGCTTTGGTTTCCCCTCTGAAGAGGTAAGGCCAGAGGTCAGTGCCCAGCTCCAAGGCACTGATCTATGAGGCTGAGGGAGAAGGGTGGATAATTAGACCTGTGGCTCCAGGGGAGGAGCCTGAGGAGATTCCCAGACGGGAGTCATTTCTAGGGACTCAAAGGAGAAACAAAGAAAAACTCAGAAGAACTTGCCTGTCCCTTCGAGAGGGCCCCAGGGAGAGGGCTGGGTGGAGGTGACAGTGCACTTACATTTTCATCTTTATGGCTCCTGGTTAATTCTCACAGAGCAGTCACCTCTACTAAGGTCTTTCCCTCATTTTATAAAGAAGCCATTAGAGGCCCAGAGAGAGCAAATCAGGTTTTAGATCAGACTCAAACAGGGGCACAGACAGGCATAAACTAGTATTACTCATTGGATGACCTGGGGCTCAGCTGGAAGGGGCTCTTGCATTTGGGGGTTACATGGACACTTAGGGGTTACCCAAAGTCAGGAAAAGACACTTGGGTGACATTGGGAGATCCCAGGGGTTAAGACAGAAGCCTAATTTAGGGGAAGTATATGTGTGTGTGTGTGTGAGAGAGTGTGTATGCACATGTATGTGTGCCTACACATGTACCTGCACACTAAGGGTGGTGAGGGATTTACTTCCCTAGTCTGGGTGGCCCAGAAGCTAGGGCAAGAGGTGAGTGCAGTGTGCACTCTGCTGTGAAAACCTGGGGACCACAGAGGCAAGGGCTGGCTTCTCCAGGGACACCACCAATTTGTCCTCTGAAATTTGGAAAGAGCAGGACTGAAAAAGCTCTTTTTTTTCCACTTTTTCTGCCTCCTTTGGATTTTTTTATGATTCTATTTTATCTCCTTTGTTGGTTTATTAGCTGTTCCTTTGTTGTATTATTTTAGTGGTTGTTTTAGGGTTTATAGTACACATCTTTAATTTA